TTCAGTTGAAGGTAAATATATTGAGTAAATGAAAAATAAAAGCAATTCAAATTCCAAAATACAAATTACAAAATTCCAAAATACAAATTACAAAATAGGTGAAACATTCTGGTACAGGATAAATGTGTAAAACAATGGATTGAGTGAACCAATGAAAACTGTGAAATAAATTCAACATAAAAGAGGGCCAAAATCAAACATGTTCTGGAAACGCCAAGCGGAGGAGGTGTGTTTTTAAGCGACTCTTAAAGGCTGGCAGAGATGGGGACAGCCTAACTGAGGGTGGCAACTGGTTCCAGAGTGACGGTGCTAGGACTGAGAAAGCCCGGTCCCCGCGAGTACAACACCTAGAATGAGGGACAGCAAGCAGGCCTTGGTCAGAGGAGCGCAGAGCGCGTGATGGGGAGTGTCTGTTCAGGAGTGTGGCCAGATGGGGGGACCACCACCCTGGAAGAAATGATAAACAAAGACGAGGATTTTTGAATTGTGAGCGACAGCAAACCGGAAGCCAAGGCAGGGAGGCCAGAACCGGACTGATGTGGTCCCGTTTCCTGGTCCCAGTCAGGAACCTGGCTGCGCTGTTCTGCGCAACCTGTAGGCGACGCAGTGATGACTGACACAAACCTGCTTAGAGAGTTGCAGTAGTGTAGCCTAGAAATTACTAAGGCATGCAGTGCCCGCTCCAGGTGGGCTCTCGACAGCATATGCTTGATTTTTGCAAGGCGTCTCAGGTGAAAGAAACTGGACTGGATCACAGAATTGATGTGAGCATCAAATTTAAGTCCAGCATCAAGTTTTTCCCCCAAACTGGTAACAACTGGTTTTGAGTAGGGAGAAAGAGGGCCAAGATCAACATAATGATCCACATTCCTGCTGTTGGGGTGAAAAACAATGAGCTCCGTCTTTCCCTCATTCAGATGTAGAACGTTGGCCATTAGCCAAGACTTCACCTCGTTAAGACAGGACACAAAGGACTGGATAGAGTGACCTTTCTCCTGTCACAATGGAGAGTGAATCTGGCAATCGTCAGCATAGAGATGGAATGATAGGCCATGTTTACGAAAGATTGACCCCAGAGGTAGCAGATAAATGGCAAACAAAAGATGACCAAGGATCGATCCCTGCAGGACCCCCCAGCCAAGCCCCTCCCAAGATGAAAACACATCACCCAGTTTAATGCAGAATGTCCTGTTGTGGAGATATGATCTAAACCAGTCCCGAGCAGACCCTTTGATCCCAACCCATCGTTCCAAGCGATCGAGTAGAATCGCGTGGTCAACTGTGTCGAAGGCTGCTGTCAGGTCTAACAACAGGAGCACCACAGATGTACCCTGATCTAGTGATAGATAGAGGTCATTTAGGACCCTCAGTAGAGCTGACTCTGTGCTATGGCCAGACCTGAACCCTGATTGAAAAACCTCGAACAGATCAGAGTCAGGTAAATGTGAGACCAGCTGCTGATAAACGACTTTCTCAAGCAGTTTTGATGTAAAAGGCAGGGTAGAGATAGGCCTGTAATTTGCGATCACAGAGACATCAGCACCAGGTTTCTTCAGGGTCGGTCAAATAACTGCTGCTTTCAAAGCAGCTGGGACAACACCTCTGCTGAGGCTCCCATTGATAATCTGACCAAGTGATGGGCCAAGACACGGAAAGGCAGCCTTCCAGAGACGAGGTGGCAGAACGTCAAGTGGAGAGCCAGATGGCTTCTGCCTCGCAACAAGCTTACACAGCTCAGAGTATGAAACAGTATTGAGGGAGCTCAGGGTGGGTGGTGATGGAGGAACTGGAACAGGGTCAATAGAGTTACCAGAAATAGCTGCTCTAATGCCTGATACTTTATGAACAAAGTATCTGTGAAGTAACTTCTCAGGTTAATGAGCACTGCCTCTCCATTCTGGACATCTGTTCGGTCAGGGAACCCTACTCCCTGGTTAAATGACAGCATTCGCAGCCTGAAGCGCCAATGCAGAAAAATTGAGCGCTTGCGAAAGAAAACCTGTCTTGTTAAAACACAAATAACATTTCTTTCTGCTTTCCGGGTTCATTTTTCATGCTTTGTTGCTCATAGAAGTTACATTTAACTTCAGGTTTGAATAACTGCTGGTACAATGTAGGGCTGAAACGATTCCTCGAGTACCTCGAATAATTCGAGTACAAAAAATCCTCGAGTCAAATTCTCTGCCTCGAGGATTCGTTTAATTCATATTTAATTAATTCATGGTTTTGCAAACGCAGGGGGTCATGTTTCACCCAGACCGAAATAAGTGACGCACATGCCCACTGCACTGCGAGTAGCGAATGTAACTTAACTTTCTCTTAAGCCATGGTGGACAACTTGAACCCCGGTGGAGTGCGAAAAAGACAGAAAATGTAAAAGTTGTGGAACCATTTTTCACGTCGTAAGGTGGAAAACGTAGTCCAGTATAAATACTGTAAAATGGATTTAGCCTACCACAACATCACATCTTCCGTGCTGCAGCACCTGTAAATGTCACTTCTGCAAGCGGACTCGGATCCTCTACAAGATAGTGCATTTTAGCCTTTATTTCTATGTATTCTGCAGACACTGTGCGACTTTTTCATTTGTAGCAGTCAGTTTCAGCTCACACCGTACGTCTGGTAGCAACACGTCGGACTTAAAATGTGCTAAAAATTGCAGTTTTTACACAATATGTCGGACTTTTTATTGTGTTGTTATTGATATTTGTGTCCCTCGGGATTGCTGCAGGAGGACGCAGGTATTTATGAGAGTGGTGGAGGAAAACGAAAGAAAGTAAATAAATGTTTTGTGATCAGTATAATTTGACAAAACCACAGCAAACATGCTTTCTCGACAATCCTTGTTATTGTGTGAGAAAAAAAAGTGTAGAAATTAAAACGGACGTGTGTTAATAGGGAAACAGCCGGCGAGCTGTTTGCGCATGCGCCGTGAGCGGTTCTGGTTCTGTTTGGGCCGCAGCCGCTCGCAGCGCTACTTCAACAGTTATCCTCCTAGTTTTTGTCTGGCTTGCAGGCTGGTAGATTCTCGCACGAGGGGAAAATCGGCTCAGGTTGTTTACTTATTTTTTGCACACGCATTTGTTTACTGTGAAGTAAAGTTGAAGTGCTGAAGTTTTGCAAACTTAATTTTGAATAAAACTTGGAAGAATAACTGGCAATTGCTTTCTCATTTTGAGAGGTCTTTCATATTTTATAACATGCTATTTGATATAATGGTTTACAAACACAAAAGGGTAATTTATTAGAGTACTCGATTAATCGAAAAAAAGATTCGATAGAGTACTCGATTACAAAAATATTCGATAGCTGCAGCCCTAGTACAATGATACTCTGCTGCAATTTTGTCCAAAATGTTACTATAAGGTTAGAGGTTTATCCAATTTCTCTCACTTTTGTTGAGCTGCGCTCAGATCAGCAGATCCGCGGCGGTCTGTCCAACCTGCTCAAGCATCACAGACCCAGATAGAGGGAGTGTACTTACTAAATTCCACAATAACATCCACTGTCTTCTAGGCATTTAGCACCAGGTTGTTGTGGCTGTACCAGGACACTAGCCATGTGACCTCCATTCTGTTGGCAGACTCATCCCCATCCGAGATGATTCAGATGATGGTGGTGTAATCTGCACTTGGTTAGCTTGACATACTGGAGGTTAGAAGTGCAGCCATTGGTCTATAGGGAGAAGAGTAGAGTGGGGGAGAAAACAACCCTGAGGGGAACCGGTACTGATGGTCCGCAGGTCCGAGACATTTGCCTCCAGCCTAACTTGCTGCTTCCTTTCTGTCAGGAAGTCAGTGACCCACCTTCAGGTGGGGCCAGACATGTTCATCTGGGACAATTTGTCTTGTAGGAGGTCTAGGAAAATTTTATTGAAGGCAGAGCTGAAGTCCACAAACAGGATCCTGGCATAGGTACCCAGGGAGTCAAGATGCTGCATAATGAAGTGTAGTTTAGGGATGCATCTATCCACATTTTTTCACTTCCGATCCGATTCTGATACCTGAGTTTGGATTCCTACAGATACCGATATTATTTCGATACTAGAGGAATATTTGTTTTAATGTCATTATGATTATTATTATGGTTGATTTCATAAGGCTATAATAAACTATTTTCTACAAGAATAATATGTAATTGTGAGAAAGCCCTACAAGTAAGAGCCCAGCACCATGTCCCAAAAGATAAGTTGAGATAAGTGAGGTCAGAAAACAACAAAATGTCTATCTTAATAAAAAGCAACTGTAATGTTTCAAATTGAAATGTATTCATTTTCAAGGCAGGGTTACAGGATACAAGTGCAATATGCACAATCAAAGAAACAACCCCTTTCATTTGAACTAAACAGCCCAGGTCCAAAAAATTACACTAGGCAGTAACACATTTTTAAAGTGTCAAACATGAAATGAAATGGGTAAACTTCCATAAAACTACTCCAAATAAAATAGAGGGCTGCTTCATCTAATCCCCACAAATTAAGTTCACTGTCTTTTTTAGCATCAAAAAGTAGTTTTCAAGTATAAAATCACACTATCAAAAAATGTGCATCTGAAACAAATTCAGTAAGTCCTTGCTCATGTAGCATTAAAAAAATAAAAATTTCAAATGTTAAACATTTTGAATTAAAGAAAAGTACAATAAGTGCACTGTAAACACACAGCAACAGTGTGCATCTGAAAAGTACGATTCAAGCATTGGCGATTTTGCATTGAAGATGACCTGGATAAAGTAAACAGTCTGTCAGAGTCTGGAACTATTCTTGAAAACAAAACAAAAAGTAAATGCGTAAGGGACTTACACATTGTTCATCTAATCTCACTTAAACAATGACAGGTTATTTTTGAGGAATATAAGCATTTCTGCTCTTTCTGCTGTCAGATGATTCCTTTTTTCATCCACAATATTGGATGCTGTACTAAACAGTCTTTCACTTTAAACACTCATTGAAGGAGCATTCAGGAACTTTGCTGCAACAGCAGCAAGGAGAGGAAAGTGGGCATGGTTGTCTGCCCAGTACTGGAAAGGGCTGTCTAGCTCACCCATTGTTGGTTCTTTCAAGTACATTTGCATCTGGATAACTGCTGCCTAGGTACCTTGTGCAGGATCATGTTCCTGTAGAATTTTGTCATCTCTCTGTGCCTTCGGGGCATAGACAGTGCCTCCCAGCCCAGGATGTCTTATATAGACATTACACAAGACATAATTCTGGATCGGAAATTTGTGCAGGTTGGATCGGAATTTTCCGATCTGTGATTTAAGACCGTATCGGAGCCTGATTCCGATACTGGATCGGATCTACCCCAACCCTAGTGTAGTCCCAGGTTAATGGTATAATCTACAGACCTGTTCTCTCTGTACACAAAATAGAGAGAGTCCAGGAGGGGGGCTGTGAGGGTCTTGAGGTGGGGGAGAACCAGGAACTCAAATGGCTTCATGACCACAGATTTCAGGGCCAAAGGTCTGTAGTGATTGAACCAAGTGATCTTTGGCTTCTTGGGGATGGGGACTATTGTGGACTTCTAGAAGCAGGCAGGCACATGAAATTCCTCCAGTGAGGAGTTGAAATTGCCCGTAAACACTGGGACCAGCTCATCTGCACAGTACTTTAGAGTGGCAGGAGATACACAGTCAGAGTCAGGAGCTTTCTGTGCATTTAGAGTCTTGAATTGCTTCCTAACATATGCCTCATGGTGGAGCTGTGTGATGTGGGGTCCTCATGAATGTGGAATTAGGAGAAGGGTGCTGTGGATGAAGTCCACAGTGATGGTGATGGCTCTGGAGTGGGGGGATGAATGACCATAGTGTCTCTATTGTTGGGACTGTAGGAGGTGTCAGAGCTGCTTGAAGGCTCATGGAAACGACAATAGCAGTTGTTTGAGCTGTTGACCAAAAGCAGATTTAACTGTGTGTCAACTCCACCTGAATTACTTTGTATACTTTGTATAGACCGTTTTGATACAATGTGTCTGATGATTTTTTACGATACACTTGCCTCATGTTTTCTGACCTTGATGATCCAACCCACTACTGGCTTACATTATTACTCAATGGTGAATCTGCTGCGATCATCAAGGATCCCAGCTAGGCTTTTGACAAGATTTCCGAGCATCAGTACCCTCCTATTGGTCCCCTTCTCGACCCACCACTGCGACAACCTGAGAGAATTGGCAACTGAAGCATATTAGCCAGCTTAGCTAAGGTGGCTAGCGCACCGGTTAATCGGGTAAGAGTAATTTCTTTCAAGATCTTGTCACAGATCATAAGCTTGACATTATATCTCTGAATGAGACATGGCAAACAACCGCAGGACTTCACGCAGCTTCATGAAGCAGTGCCACCAAGGTTTGTTTACAAGGCTCAACCTCATAGCTCAGGCTGCTGAGGAGGTCTCACGATACTCTACCTTGAAAGTTGTCCCACAGACTGTTTCTCAATATGGTTCGTTTGAATCAATTGTCTGTCAAATATCTGGTTTAATTCCTACAATTTTTACATCTGTTTATTGTCCTAAACCAAAGATTTTCTGAATCATTTTTTAGCTTTTCTTGGACATTTGACCAGTGGCGGATCTAGGATTTTTCTGAGGGTGGGGCCATCAAGGGGCCACAATATTTATAGAGGGGCCACGAACAGTCCAACATACTTGCATACTATTCCCAGTTTTGTATGGTAGATACAGTTTACCCCAACACCATGTTGAAAAACATCAATGCAATTGTACATCAATTTTTACTGTACATTGACAAAATACAACCACACACAGCATTTGAGAAATTTTAGCATTCAATTTATTTTGCAAAGCCACAAATATCAGGTTAAAATATGTTTGTGTGGAAAAAACACCAGAAGAATATCACAGGACCCTCTGCTCTTGACTGGGAAATGTCTGGTGGGAAGTCAATTAAATAAGTCTGAGTCAGTTGCTTATATCTCTCAACCTTTAACATTCATGGCATTCAGAATCTGCAAGTGATTGACTGCAAAATTCAATTAAATTTAAAGAGCCTTTACAAAATGAGAAGCACACCACCAGGTCCTACTGGAACAGAACACTGTTCTGATGTCTGCGCAGGATTCTGTGCATCACACTGGAAGATGTCTGAAAACAGCAAATGAGAAATTATCTAACATAAGCCAAATACATACACAAGCATTTATTACTTTCAAAGATCAATGTTTACCATTTGATCCTGCAGGATTAGTATTGATTGGTGACTCTGGTGGCCCAGCAGGATGGAAGGTTGAGTCATTAACTTCACTCTGGTTGTCTGAATTGGAGAGAGTCTTGTCCCAGTTTGCAGCTAAAATACAAATATATGTCAAACTCCAGCTAAATCCAGCCAAAACTTTGTTTTCTATGAGACCACATTTTTATTTATTTGAAATTGAAGACTTCAAAGGTTGGACTATAAAGATGAGATGTGGTAGATGTAGACAAAGAAACCAATACAATTTAAATCCATTATGTTAATGTTATAGTAAATCACATCACCATGAAGCGGAAGAATTCAGTAAACATATGTGCCATTAGTACAAGATAACATCATTTAACAAATTTGAGATAATGGTGATTTTTTTTTATTTTTACCTAGAATAATGGCAGGAAAAGTTGGACTAACAAAGGAATATCCAAAACACAAAATCTCTTTGGAAAACTTAACCTTGACCTTACTTAATCAACCAATTAGAAAATTCAGTGTTTCAAACAAGGACTTTTCCCACACATTTTACAATACATCAAAATGTCACAATTTAGGGAAACCTTGAAGGAATTGTGGGAAAGGAAACTTAACTGCAACATTACTGATGATGAATGGAAAGATGCTTTGAGAAACGTAAAATCATTTACTAAAGGGAAGCAACTTTGCCACTAATGATTTGTCACGATTAACAACTTCTATCAATTTAAACAATAATCCTTTATTTTTGGTGCTTGGAATAACTGACCCAATTATTACTGATAAATATAAAAAGCTCAATGCAAATTTTCTGTGCAAGAAAATGACTCCACATTAACTGGATCAGCTCCAAGATAAAATGGGAAAAGGTTATCCTCAATTATAAGCAGAACACATTGGGCAGCATTAGGTCGTTTATAAGTGGTCAGTCCGTCCTGCTGGATAATGTGGTGCGATCATGATCTTTTTACAAAAGATTATGCGATGGCGGTGAAAAGGGAGCTTGGGGGCGGTCTCTGCGCTGCCACGGACTTCAGTTTATCTTGGACATAACTTGCTTTTTATTGCGATCAAAGCCACACTCATTAAGCTTTTTTAACAAGCCGCTCCAGAAGGTGTCTGTCCCCGTGCAGTCTCTGGTGATCTGAGCTTCAACTCTTACGGAGAGGCTCCCCGGCCATCATCTCAGCTGATTCTGTTTAGAAAAGCCAAACTTACGGCCCATGTTTACTTTCATTTTCAATATAGTTGCCGGCCGGAGCTCGGCAGTAACTGCCCACGTGATCATGATACCCCCTTCTGTTGCGCCAAGTTGTAATATGCATTCACAAGTCCGGCGTTGCGGTGATATTAGTATCAACCGTGGCAGCACGAATGCCACAAAATTCCCGCAACACCATGCCGCCACGGCGCGTTTATATTACACGTACGCTGATTTCCCAGCATGGTATGTCCTACAAGAGGCTGTCTCTCGTGTTTATCTGACATGACTGTTGCACAATAAAGATTATATTCTTTCTGACCTGATAAAGGGGGAATGGAGGTCCCTTGCCCTGTTCCAGCCTCTGGTCTACTGCCTCCTGCTGCTCTCTCTGATTTCTCCATGCTCGTTTTCACCAGCTGACACACTCACTCTCTTGGGAAAAAACTGCAGAATTCCCGCCTGTATCTGACCCTTTCTTTTCATGTTCTCTATCAGACAGTGCCAACTATTAACACACGAAATGCAGATTACAAAAGAAGTACATGGATTAGCAAGGGCTAACGTTTTTTCACAAGCCCTTTTTAACATTACCTTTAACTAATGTCGGCATTGCTTTCCATTGGACTTATTGTCAGACTTGACTTACATGGCAACTGTGAGTAAACAGTGATTCGTGACTTACCAACAAACTCCTCATAACGTGGACTCTCATCAGATCCGATGTCGGTTGAAAAGTTCTCCCTTCTTGGAATCTTTCAAATCTTCTTCTGTTGGATTTCACACACTATTTTGCTCCTTAGCGCCACACGGCCACTAGTGTTTGGACTCGGAATTGCATCCACCTATAATCTCATCACCGCACAAAGGACAGATGAGTGACAGGACAGGGGCACTACAGGGGCCAATCATATTTCAGCAGGGGCCAGTGCCCCTGTGGCCCCGCCCCTAGAACCGCCAATGCATTTGACTTTCTTATCTCCGAATATCATTATGCTAGTAGATTTTAATACACGCCTGGATTACAGTAAATTCTGACTACCAGTACCTTTGTTTCATTCTTGGATAATTTTGTTTTTCAGTAATAAGTGGATTTTCCAACACATATCAAAGGCCATATACTGAATTTGATTTACTGTTCTGGACGCACTCCTACTGACTACCGCCGACAAATTTTCTTCTTCAGATAATTTTCTTCTTACATTCAAGTTGTCTCTCACCCTCAAAGCCTGTTTGCTCCATCATCTTTTGGAATCTTAAAAACCTCAATGTGGACAATTTTCTTTTCTGTATTAATGATTTTGCAGATATGCTACAATTTCTCTCCCCACCTGACCAGGTTTCCTTCTCCATCGATAACCTTCTTGAGATTTTAAACTCAGTTCTATGTTTGAACTCCCATCTATCTTGGAAATAATTAATCATTTCAATTTTAAAGTCTTTGGTATGACCCAACCGGGATTTGAACACTGTTCTCCCAGTCCCAGGGCAGACACTCTAGCACAAGGCCACTGAGCTGGTAATGTAATCTACTTGATCCCTCTAGGGTACATCTTTACAAAATTTAACATAAACTTTCATTGTTATCCTGTTGGTGCTCAATTATATGTTTCCACCACTCGGTCCTCGTTTCTTCCACCTCTGTCACTCATTGACTGCATATCCGACATTAGGTCTTGGTTTTCTTTAAACTTCCTTAAGCTGAACTCCAATAAAACTCAAGTTCTTCTCATGGGTACAAGATCTGCATTGGGGAAGGCTGGAACATTGTCATTGGCTATTGCGAACGCTGTAGTTGCCTATTTGGACCAGATAAAATACCTTGGTGTCATTTTAGACCGTTTCCTTTCCTACCATTCAAATATCAATGCAGTTACCCCTTCAGTCTAATGTCTCCTTTGAAATATTAATCACCTGCATCCGTCACTCTCTAATCACGCCACTGCCATCTTAGTAAATAGTCTCGTCACTTCTCGCTACTACTTTCATTCCCTCCTGTTTGGTTTGCCACAGAAGTCCTTGCACAAACTTTAACTGGTTCAAAGCTCTGCAGCTCGTATCATTACTAGAACAGCCATCTCTAATCACATTACCCATGTTATCCAGCAGCTTCATTGGCTGCTGATAAAGTTTCGGATCATTTACAAATTACTACTTATCACATACAAACTTGCCTCTATTTATCTTTCTCAGCTCCTAAAAATATCTACACCCTCCCGTATGTCCAGATCCTCAGCCTTTATCAACCTATAAATCCCCTCTGCCTGACTTGTTATCATGGGAAGTATATCATTAAAAATATCTGCGCCGTCCCTGTGGAATTTTTTTAGTGATGGAACTTAAGAAAAAGTAAAGGTAGACAGAGTTCTGGAATGATTTTTTTCTTGTCTAATTTTTACGTATGGCTGCATGGTGGTGCAGTTATTGTAGCAGTGTTGCCTTGCAGCAAGAAGGTTGCAGGTTTCAAACTCAGCTGCGACCTTTTTGCATGGAGTTACGAGTTCTCCCCATGCATGTGTGGGTTTCTTCCAGGTACTTTGATTTCTTCTACAGGTTTAAAATTGTACGCATTAACTCCAGTGGTAACATGACACAAGTCACCTAGGTCGTGCAGCTCAACCAGGATGGCAGATCAGTGTGAACTGTGGCAAGAAGGTTTGCTGTGTCTGTCAGTGTAGTGTCCAGAGCATGGGGGCACTACCAGAAGACAGACCAGTACACCAGAAGACGTGAAGGAGGCCATCCATCAATGCACCATCCACCACTGCTACGTTGCACCAAAGACTGTCCAGGAGTTGGCAGGTGCTTAGTCTAGGTCTAGGAGGAGATCCCTCATCAGACCATCCACCACTTGATCAGGAGTTTGCCAAGGCATTGTAGGGAGATTATATATTTACGTGGAGGCCACATAGAGTACTGAGTCTTATTCTGATTTATTTTAAGGACATTACATCAAAGTTAGATCAGCCTGTAGTGTGTTTTTCCATTTTAATTTTAAGTGTGACTCCAAATCCAGACCTCCACGGGTTGACAAATTTGATTTCTATTGATAATTTTTTTGTGATTTTGTTGTGAGCACATTTAACTATAAAAAGGAAGAATTATTTAATAAGAATATTTCATTCATTCAGATGTAGGATGTCTTATCTTTTGTGTTCCCTTCATTTGTTGAGAATATATATATATATACTCCATATATGTTGGTGGTGCCCGTGGTCATCAGGACACTTGGGGAAGTTACCCCCAAAGTGGAGGAGTGGCTAAAGCAGATCCATCCTTTATTTGAACCTGCTTATCTATGCAGGGTCGCAGGGGTGGCTAAAGCAGATTCCAGAAAAAACATCTGACATCTCAGTCCAGAAAAGTGCACTTCTAAGAACAGCTAAATACTGCACAGAACCCTCAAGCTGCCAGGCCTCTGGTATAGGACCTGAGCTTGGAAGGGTGAGACCACCCCTGTGGGTGAAAAGTTTTTTTAACATATATCCTCTCCATTTTTATTTTATTTGGGGGGGGGGGGGGGGGGTGTACACTACTTCATTTTGCACCAATTGTCAACAAATTCTTATGTCAAATCCTTTTAATTATCAATAAAAGAAAATCAACTTTTCTAGGAAAAAGATCGACAGATTGACCTTTGATCCTTTCCACATGACTCCTTCCAGCCAGTGAGCGTTGCTTCTCTTCATCTTCTCCGGAAGCTTCCAAATTAGGACTGGAGGACTTTTAGCAACCAGTGATGCATGCAGGTAAAAACCCTCTCGTCCCTATCTGTTATTCAGAAATGTTTAAGTTTTTTGGTCTGTTTGTCTAAAGCTGTAACTTGCTAATTCAGTATAGTTGTTGCTGTTGAAGCTAGCTTTGTGAACAGCTGTGCTGTAGCTTACAGTTAACAAGGTAATAAGCTAAACGTCTTGGTTGTCAAACTTATTTTCTCAGTTAAAATAAGCTAATTAAACGTTCAAAAGTGTGTGGCATGCGACATGTTCAGCTTATGAAGTCAACAGGTGAGGTTGATAAATGGTTTCTTTGAAGAGTCAATATTTGCCGGGCCTGTCTCGTCATGTCCCCTAACTCACCGTAGTCAGTGAGAGAGGAGGACGGTCATGCTAATTGTTCCTACCGGTGCACTTGACACACTGGAACAGCAGGTGAAGCTGCCTCCCTTGGCTGTCCCGGGGACTGACTGAGCCTGTCTGTTTCAGCCTGAGATATTGGAGGTGGTGTGTGAAGAGGGTCAGATGCGTGTCTCATGCTGCCCTGACACTGAAATTGTATAAGATTTAATGATTTAAACAGTTAATAATCATGGATGTTGTTTTATCAATTAACCACAAGGACCTAAGTCATTTATTTTGTGTATGGAAACATGCAAGGATTAATAAAATGATCTTTAATTTATTAGAAAAGTTGGTAGGATGCTTAAATTAGTGATGATTAATTTTAGCCCTGGACAGCCACCGTCCCGCAGATTTTCTGAGGTTATTCTTTAACACCAGATTTTGATCTGCATGTGATTAGCAGGCTTTTGCTGATCTTGATTACCTGCTGCACAGGTGATTCAGTCATTGAATCAGATGTGTTTGGGCAGAGAAACAAGTTTAAGATGCAGGATAGTGGCCCTCAAGGATTAGAGTTGGGCACACCTAGCTTAAATTGATGAAGATTATTAATCAAGTACCTGTACAAGTTTTAGATTTCCTGTGAAAACCCACAGTTTTTTTGTCTTTTTAGATGCATGATAGCAAAGCGACCAAAAAGAGTAAAAATGAAGCCAAAAGATGAGGCAGTGCAGTTTTTGGCTTTGGGTAAGGACAAGGATGGATTTGATGTGAAATTCATCAACTCTTTCAAAGGTCAGTCATCAAGCTAGATGTTTGGTCTACATTTGATTATCATTTTGGGTTGATAATGAAGTAATGTGGTGTTTCTCAGGGCGAGGAGTGTTCAGTACATGCCACTTTGAGAAAGGATCATTTCTTGTAGAATATCGAGGCAAAGTCATAAACAAACTGGAATATGAAGACAGGTTAAGGATTTATCATGATGCAATGAAGGTCTTCATGTTTGAGTTTCATCATAATGGAAAACTTTTGTGGTATGTAAATTAAAGCATTCAAAAGTAAAACTTTTTAAAAATAGTTATATAATTTTTTTTCTTTTTGTCCTGTCATTTGTTTTGTGATTTCAGTGTTGATGCCTCAAGGGAGGATGATTCATTAGGAAGACTAGTTAATGATGATCATGTGAGCCCAAACAGCAAAATGAAGACGATATTAAAGGTGCATGTTGAATTAGGACTTTTACCATGAATATTGTACAACTTTAAAATGATAGGTAAAAAAAAGAAGTCATGTTTTTTGAGTATATTTTTTATAGTACTTTATTAATATGTAAGTTTGCTCCGCTAAGAGAAGTTTGCTGTGACAATTATTTAGCAATCTCTGCATTAGCAACACTACATGTGGTTATTTTCAAATTAGGTTATTTTCTATCAATCAATCAATCAATCAAATTTCATTTGTATAGCACCTTCTACAACATTATCGGAAGCCCAAGGTGCTGAACAACATCATTAAAATAAAAACATTCCCAGTACATGGGCATAAAAGCAGGATAAAAACATAAAATCATAAAATATGAAGCAAACACTATTACAGATAAGAGATATCGGAATAAGACTAATCGATAAAAAAACAAATGTCGGACAAAATAAAATCAAGCATCTGGGTTAAAAAGAGGAATAGTTAAAACCATAATGTTAGGGCAATTCAAATGACCCTAGCGCTAAAACGCAATCAGATAAAAACGAGTCTTTAAACGAGACTTAAAGACATGAAGGGATGGTGCCTGCCTAATGCTCAGTGGCAATTCGTTCCACAGAGTTGGAGCCAAAACAGAAAAAGCACGACAACCCCTCGATCGAAATTTCGACCGGGGGACCACCAGAAGTTCCTGCTCGGCTGAGCGAAGAGACCGAGATGGAGCATACCTGTTCAAAAGTGCAGTAATGTACGAGGGGGCACTGCTCTGGAGGGCCTTATAAACGAGAGTTAAGATTTTAAACTGAGCTCGATATTTTACCGGGAGCCAGTGCAGAGCATCCAGCACTGGGGTAATGTGCTCTCGACATCTAGTGCCTGTCAGGAACCTAGCCACTGAGTTCTGCACAAACTGGAGCCATGCAACCGTGCACTGGGCCAGACCAGCAGACAGAGCGTTGCAGTAGTCCAGCCGGGACAGGACGAAGGCATGCAACACAGACTCCAGATGAGCTCTGGACAGCAGAGGCCTGATCTTGGATAGTCTTTTCAGGTTAAAGAAACAGGACCTCACCACTGTATTTTCATGGGTGTCAAGATTAAGTGATGAGCCGATTTTAATCCCCAAATTACTGACCATTTTCTTTTCATAGGGTGTCAATGGGCCAAGGTCAATATCAGCACCAGAGCCATTTCTTCTGCCAGGACTAAGTATTATAACTTCCGTTTTGCTCTCATTTAGGTGCAAAAAAAAATTAGAAGCCATCCAACATTTTATGTCCTTCAAGCAATCCAGTAAAGGAGAAACAGATCTATCCTCCCCACGTCGAAAAAGGAGATAGATCTGGCAGTCATCAGCAAAGAAATGAAATTTAATATTATGCTGGCGAAGGAGGACCCCAAGAGGAAGCAAATACACTGCAAATAGGAGAGGACCAAGGACAGAGCTCTGTGGCACACCCCAACGAAGTTTCACGCTGGGTGACGTTACCTCACCCATCTGAACACTAAATGTCCTGTCTTGAAGATAAGAGCGAAGCCATTGGAGGGCCTGCCCAGTTATCCCCACCCAATGCTGTAGTCAGTCCAGAAGGACTTCGTGGTCGACTGTATCAAAAGCTGCAGATAAGTCCAGCAATAGGAGGACAACATCGTTGTCCATGTCACAGGCTAAAAACGTGTCATTAAAAACCAATAAAAGAGCAGATTCAGTGCTGTGACCTTTCCTGAACCCTGACTGAAAGGTCTCCCATAAATCATTTGTGTCCAAAAAGGCAACCAATTGTGAATACACGACCTTCTCCAGCAGTTTGGAAAGAAAAGGGAGTTTTGAGATGGGCCTGTAATTAGCTAAGGTTGTCACATCCAGCCTCGTTTTTTTTAACATAGGATGAATAACAGCCTTCTTAAACGAGGACGGAACCATACCAGAAGTAAGACTGCCATTTGTGATTGCCAACAGCAAAGGGCCTATCACTGGAAAGAGTTCTTTATAAATTCTAGGGGGCAGCACATCACAAGGAGAGCCAGAAGGTTTGAGCTGAGCGACCAGTTTTTCCAAGTCTGATAATGTAACAGTCTCAAATGTTTCCAGTGTAGCCTGGAGTAGAGAGTCAGATGGTGAGTTTGTAATGGCAGCTCGAATAGCTGTCACCTTATACCAAAAAAGTGAATAAAGTCATTACAAGTTTCAACGGTGGGAGGCAAAGGGCTAGAATCAGAGAACTCAAGTAGTGAATTTACAACAGAAAAAAAGAGTGCGTGGATCGTGAGAATTTTTTTCCACGATATCAGCAAAGAACTTCACCCTTGCTTCCTTAAGAGTTTGCTGATAGCTGTTCAATACTGAAGATGTCCCAACTATGGAAGGAGAAGTTAAACAGGAATATTAAATAAGAATGTTTTATATTTTAGAATCTTAAAGAAAGCTATCTCTTATGAAAAACTTAACAGGCTCCTGGCATTCTTTTTGGTGTGTAAGAAACTTTAGTGCTTTCAGGCTAGGATTGGTCTCTGTGGTGGCCGATCCATGTGTGAATGGATTTTATTGTTCTCTTTGTTTCATGTCCGCAAGGTTACAAGTCTCACCGATGCAGCGAAAGCCGATGAACCACTGGCGTCAAAGCAAGACATCCAGGTGGGTAGATCTCTGCCTTTTGTAATCTTTCTACATGTTTCTTACAATTTTGGATCGGATGTTGGGGGATGTAGACAGTCCCTGTAATGTGTGGTCCTTTCAGATGAGAACATTCTGAGGACTGTGTGTTTAACTAACAAAATAGGGATATTATTATATATTATTATAATATTGATTTTTTTAATTTTTTTATCAACAGCCATTGTGTTGGAGGAAAAAAAATACTATTTTGTAGTTTTACAATGCATCTTTCATGTATTTTAGAACATGGGACTACACTACCATCTGAGAAACCTTCAGACACTTCAGATGGCATGACTGCCTTTCAACACGTTATTAAAACTGCACTGAATCAGACCAGTGCTACACTTTTTGGGTTTAACATTTCTGAATTCTGTTTATAGATGTTGACTCTCCTGGAGAAGGAACATCTCAAGGTACCACTCCAATACTATATCTACCAGACTAATTAATGTTGGAACAATAAAAACATGCATACATTAGATTATTGTATTTATGAACCAAATGTCTCAACTTAGAATTGCCCCAGCGTTAATTGGCCTAGCAAACCAGACATTTGGAAATGCATTTAACTGGGCCAGTATTATGAAGTTAACGGTGCAAAGCACAGCTTACCTTTAATCAGATATTAGTTTTTCACATGTTTTTACCTGCCTGATTTTATGGAAAGGTTTTTGGGTGCAAAATTATTATACTGGATGCTGATCAGGAAGGGAATGATGGCTTTAATGAGAAACTTATGTTAAAACATGTTAACTGACTTGTAAGGAAGGGTCCTAAGCCAAAGATTGGGTTAGGTTATTTTTGTCTTTAACAAACTATAGGAGAAAGTGCTGAAATAGTTTAAGGTTCACTTGGTTGAGGGGGAACAGTCTTGCAGCATCTTTTGAGCCTACCAGGACCAGAGGCTTTGTGTGGAGCAGAAAAAAGGTCATCAGTTGCTCAATTTGGTGAGAATTTGATGTGAAGATGTAGAAACTGGGCAGTTGAAACTGTTGGATGTGTTATGCCATTTTACCTGGTGAAGATATTAAGTCTTTTTTGCAAAGAGGCTGGGTTCTGAATGGGGTTTAAGAGTTGTTTAAATCCTTCCTTGCATTTTCAGATATTGTCTTTTACTCGGGTTCGTTTCTGTAGTTTACAAAACCCATCTTAGCTATAATCTTGAACTCCTTTAACACAGAGGACAACTGGGAAGCTAAGTGTTTTCTTTTGGGCTAGGCAGATTTGAGCTGATCATCCAATGTTTGTTTAGAATAAATAATCTACCTGGTAGTGGCGTTGTCATTGTCACATTTATTATTTTTTTTACCTTTAATCAGGATAGATTGTTGGAATTAAACCTCCATAACAAGAATGTTCTGACAAACAGGGAAATGTGAAAGTGCTCAGTCAGCAAATCAATGCTCAATACAGCATATTGGAAGAAGTTCACACATCAAAGGAAAATGAGGACATTAAGGTGGAATTCAATTTAAACTCATTTTGTGCATTAGTCAGTTACAGGATTCATAAATGAAAACATTTTTGAGATTTTTTAAGTGTTTTAAATGTGTCATTTTAAATTCCCTGTGAGGAGTGGTCCTTTGGGTTTTAGGAGCTGATTCAAATATCTGCACTAGAAATATTGCCAAACAAGTCCAGTAGGCCTATGTTTATCATATTTGTGAGAAATGTGATGTATTAGTCTGTTGATCAGAAGTGCGGTTAGGAGGCATTCAAATCCATCAGAAAGAAACCAGCTGCTCACTAGTTGGATTGGCAGCTAGGTTACAGCAGTATGCTTTTTGTAGGGATGTTTTCTTGGGAATATAATTACCAAAGTAATTTTATTTATTTTTTTATTTGTAGCATTTCCTGAACAAGAAGCCCAAAAGAAGCGCCCTCGAAGGATTCAAAAGCGTCCCTGGTCTCCAAAAGAAGTTGCTGCAGTGATGAAGTACTTTAGCAAACACATCAACACTGGGAAGCTGGCATCCTTCGTTGAAATAGAACAGTGTAAAAAGGCTGAATATCTCGTCCTTAAAGGCCGATCTCCACAGAACAGAAGAGACTTTGTTCGAAACAGAGGCACAGCTAAAAAAAAATCCTAGATGTCTCGATCGTTGATGTTGAGCAAAATGTTAATTAAAGCTCCATAAAAGAATATTTGCTGTGCTTTCAAGTTGACAGTTGCAGTTCAATAACCCTCCCACTGTCTTTATGGGTGACCCCGCGAGGAAAGTTGACAATTGAGCAGGATTGATGGTTTATCCCTTGGG